TATATTATTCTAGCTTGAACTCCAAAATGGATATCCTCATTTCACCACCTCCACCCACTACAATCACACGCCCCAATGTTATATTTAACTAATATGTAACTCCCTCCACCCCGGATAAAAGCACGTTAAGAAGCCCCTTTTCTCTAATTCCACAACGTTGGAGGAAATAACATTAGGAGAACGGATTAATAGGCTGTTCATGGTTATCGTGTGTTGCTAACTTTATCCGGCATTCTAGGCTAATCTGTAAACGTTAAATATACTGATTGAAGGGATAATCCACTAACATCCTTTAATACACATGTGTAGTTAATTTGATTCAGATGTTCTGATAATATCCGCAATATAAATCTTTAAACATCTTCTTACCTTTAAAAGTCCATTACGAACAGTCTATTATGCTGCAACCATAGACTGCTAGCCGCAGATCCTCTCAATAGTTCCCCGGAAGTTAGCGGCAAGTTAACTTCCGTGGAACTATTGCGATTTTTCTGACAAATATTGCGATTTGATTTGCGATATTTGTTTTTAAGCGACCCAACCAACGGAAGTTTATTGTAAAATGTGGCCATATCTCCGGCTAGGAAGGTCGCATCAACATGCTCCAGTCTCTAGCACCCCGCAGCCCGAGCTACGAGTGAAATAACTAAACATACATGAAACTTCTGTTGGGTTGCTTTAAAGTCAAGCTTCAGTTTAAGATTCACCCTGTAATAGATGTAAAACATGTGATGGAGCATTACTAACCTGACTCAGATGGTTTGTTTCACCAAACCATCTGGAAAGCTCCATTGGAAGCCATTTGGAAAGGGCAGGCACTTTCAAAAATACTTGGCAGGTGATTGGATCAATCCATTTTTTTTTTTAAATCGCAGGCTTTGCGATTTCATAATCGCATCATTTAAAATCGCGATTTCGATTTAAAATCGATGAATCATTCAGCCCTATTACCGCCCTTCAATGCTAAACTCTTATTGCCCTTTTGGCAACGAGCATTGTCCACATCGAGACTGGTAAAGTTTAACCACACCTTGGAGCACCTTAGTTCTCTCCACCATCTCCGCCGAGTGTGTTGCATGCAAGGTTTTTAGGCCTTTCTTAAAGGAGTCAGTGGTATGTGGAGTCCTCAGGTGGTCTGGGAGGATTCCACAGGTGAGGAGCAGCTGCACAGAAAGTTTTTTTATTAAATAATATTGTGCAAAAGTAACTTTGACACATTCACCAGAATATGCTCGGCCGCTCTGACAGTGAGCTCTGCTCTGAATATACGAGCGGCACGTTCCAACCTCTATACAGTCTATGGTACCCACCGTAACAACAGCACTCTGCGTTCAGCAATGGTCCAGTCCAAAATATTCAACTTTTTCTGCATTTTCAGCCAAATTCAGCAACAAATGTGCACAGCTTACAGCATTCACCCGCATTTTCAGCAGGAAATGCAGTTCTTTTTCAAATTGGTTTATTTTGACTAAAAAGATTGAGGGCAGCCGTTTGATGAGACAAAACACAAAAGAAACTAAACACATTTTTCTTAAATTACTTTATTTATGTATACAAAAATCACATCGCCATCGTGTGCCATGGCGAGGCATCGCCTAGCATCGAGCGAACGTGAACATGGGCGCCACATCGCACATACACAGTATATCCGCAACAGTTACAATGAAGGCTCGATAATCAGCTCACGGCATATTACATTACATTACATTACATTGCATTTAGCTGACACTTTTATCCAAAGCGACTTACAATAAGTACATTCGACCAGGAAGACACAACCTTGAAGAAAACAGAATCATATAAGTACATCAGGTTTCATAGAGCCAAACATTTCAAGTGCTACTCAACTGGCTTTAGGTAAGCCAGTCCTTTATTAGTATAAAAGTGCTTCGTTAATAGTTCTAACGCTCGAGTTCTAACGCATATAGGTGTAAGCAGGGGTGTAATGCTATTTTATAAGTGGGTGGTGGACCTAGCATCTTCAAGGGGGTCCGGGGGCATGCTCCCCCGGGAAGATTTTTTTTTTTAAATATTGAAGTTAAATGCATCAATCTGCTGCACTTTGAGAGCAAAAATGAGGAGATCTATGGATACATCTCCCAACACCCATATGAAACAGAACTGTAAACAGATTTTCTTTTTCTTTATGGATATTTTACAAATCACTCATCCTTTTAAACTGTATTCTTGTTTTACTGTCATATAGTATTTCATAACTTATGTATAACTATAATGATCATATAAAGGTGTGGCTCGGACGTACATAAATCATGACCAAACAGTTTGAGACCCACTGAGATAGTTAGACTAAAGTTAACTATCTAAACCCTCAGAGTCCTTTACTGAGCTGAGGTTATCAGTTATCAGTTATCAGTTATCTGACAGGAGAGAACTCTCCTCCGCCTTGTTGTTGAAACAGCTCCTTATATCCGTTAGTGCAACTAGCTAACCAGATGCTAACAACAATCCCCGGTACCGGTGCGCTCTCTCTCGCGCATTCACACAAAATGAGATTGTGCCACACACAGAGCCGAGCTTGACTGAAACACAGAGACCCAGAAGTACTTGTACTGTAGCATATTATTTTCGAATCAATAATTTTTCAAATTATGAATTTCACACGTAAAAAGAAAAAGAGACATACATTTATTGAGGGTGCTTAGGGGGTGCTATGGCTATCCTAGGGGGAGCTGCAGCACCCGCTAGCGCCCCCCTGGTGCCGCCAATTGGGACACACGCACATACACACACAGCTACACACGCATAGCTACACACAGACAGCTAAATGCATACACAGCCACACACACATAGCTACACACACACTCACACAGCTACACACACACAGATACGTGCACACACACACATTTGCCCTCTGCACCTGGGCCTGTCATATTCATCTAATATGAGCAGATGAATATGACGCATAGCAACAGCAGTTTAACTGTAAATATTAACTATTTAGATTGGAGGGGGAAAAAAAGGAAGAGACCTCTGATTGGTCGCTCAGTTTTGGGAGATTTGATATATATATATATATAACATGGGGGGGGACACTCGCACAAATTGTGTGACAAATTCATTATTGATATCGATAGGATTATTAGGGTCTGAGACCAGATGTCGGCGAAGACCCTATTGTCAAACACACACAAAACAGGGAAACAGACGGGCAAAAGCGCAGAAAAAGGGGCCAAAATCAGGACAGTAGGCAGCCTACAGTGACGTGGGCTAGTCACTACATTATTGATATCGAAAGGATTATTATTATTATAATTTGTATTTTCCCACTTTTAACGGATATTTGACCCCCTGAATCAGTGGTTGCGTTAACCGAATATTTCCCGTCTATGATAGTTCACGAGCGTGCTCTCCAATTTTGCATGGTTGCTGTGGTCGCTGTGCGAGCGATTAAGTTGATCCTATGGATATAAATCATGCGAGTTGTAGTGTCACTAGGCTCGCATGGGCTATCTGCCATCATGATTTCGGAACCTTTTTCTGTGCTTTTGCCGGTCGCTTTCCCTGTTTTGTGTGTTTAGCAGCGATTACAATAGGGTCTTTGCCGACCTCTGGTCTCAGAGGCAGCATCCCTCTCCTCTGTCATCATCCTGTTGGACCTGTCTGCTGCATTCGACACGGTGAATCATCAGATCCTCCTTCACACTCTCCAAGAACTTGGAGTTTCAGGATCTGCACTTTCCCTCCTCACCTCATACCTCAAAGACCGTACCTACAGGGTAACTTGGAGAGGGTCCGAGTCCGACCCTTGTCAATTAACTACAGGGGTCCCTCAGGGCTCTGTTCTTGGTCCCCTCCTCTTCTCCCTGTACACAAACTCGCTCGGATCAGTCATTAGCCCGCATGGTTTTTCATACCACTGCTACGCTGACGACACCCAATTAATTATGTCCTTTCCCCGCTCAGAGACCCAGGTCATCGCACGCATCACTGCTTGTCTAGCTGACATCTCTCAGTGGATGTCTGCTCACCACCTCAAGCTCAACCTTGACAAGACTGAGCTGCTTTTCCTTCCGGGAAAAGATTGTCCCACTCTTGACCTGACAATCAACATCGGCACCTATGTTGTTTCCCCGACTCAGACTGCAAGGAATCTGGGTGTGACCCTAGATAACAAACTGTCCTTCACTGCAAACATCGCTGCTACAACCCGTTGCTGCAGATACACGCTTTACAACATCAGGAAGATACGTCCCCAGCTGACACAGAAAGCGACGCAGGTTCTGGTCCAGGCTCTCGTCATCTCACGCCTAGACTACTGCAACTCCCTCCTGGCTGGTCTACCTGCATGTGCCATCCGACCTCTGCAGCTCATCCAGAATGCAGCGGCTCGTCTGGTCTTCAACCTTCCTAAATTTTCCCACACCACTCCGCTCCTCCGCTCCCTTCACTGGCTTCCGGTAACTGCTAGAATCCACTTCAAGACACTGGTACTTGCATACCATGCTGCGAATGGATCTGGCCCTTCCTACATCCAGGACATGGTTAAACTGTACACCCCAGCGCGTGCACTACGCTCTGCATCAGCCAAACGACTCGCTGCACCCTCGCTGCGAGGGGGACCCAAGTTCCCATCAGCAAAAACACATGGGTTTGCTATCCTGGCTCCAAAATGGTGGAATGAGCTCCCCATTGACATCAGGACAGCAGAAAGCCTGCACATCTTCCGGCGCAGACTGAAAACTCATCTCTTTCGACTCCACCTCGAGCAATAGAATTACTAACAAAGAACTGCTAACAGAGCACTTATATACTAATAAAGGACTGGCTTATCTATAGCCAGTTGAGTAGCACTTGAAATGTTTGGCTCTATGAAACCTGATGTACTTATATGATTCTGTTTTCTTCAAGGTTGTGTCTTCCTGGTCGAATGTACTTATTGTAAGTTGCTTTGGATAAAAGCGTCAGCTAAATGCAATGTAATGTCTCAGACCCTAATGAGAATTAAAAAAAAGAATGAAAGAAAATTCAGACAGCACGTCTACCTTTAGTATACGTATATAAATCTTTAATTTCAAATGTTTTGTAACATTGTAATCCTGCTGGTAATCCCTGTGTTTAAAGAATGTAACAGTAATCTGATTTCTTACTTTTTAATGTAATTGTAATCGAATACAGTTACCTTTTTTTTTGTATCCTGATTATGTAATCTCTTACAATTTACATCACAGACGCTACATCCAAATCTACAGGACCACCCTCGGAGTCTGCTAGGTCCGATGGTTTGGTTTGGTAGCTCTTGTGGTTGGTCAGTGGCTGGATGGGGGACTGCAAAGGTTCCAATAGCTCCAGTGATTCAGTGCTGGACTCGGGCAGACCTGGTGCTGGGCCGGCCTGAAGCAGTGGATGTGACAGCTCTGCTTATTGCTGTGCTTTTGTCTCAGACTCTGACGGCTCTGAGGTTTGCTGAGGCTGGTTCTGGTTCTCTGACGGTTCTGAGGTTTGCTGAGGCTGGTTCTGGTTCTCTGACGGCTCTGAGTTTTGCTGAGGCTGGTTCTGGTTCTCTGACGGCTCTGAGGTTTGCTGAGGCTGGTTCTGGTTCTCTGACGGCTCTGAGTTTTGCTGAGGCTGGTTCTGGTTCTCTGACGGCTCTGAGGTTTGCTGAGGCTGGTTCTGGTTTTCTGAGTGTTCCAATGTTTGTAGAGAATGGTTTTGGTTCTTTGATGTTTGCTGAGACTGGCTGTGGTTCTCTGATGGTTCTGGTTTGCGGCAGTGTGAGTCCAGCAGCAGCTGTCTCTGCAGCTCCTCTGCACTGTGGGCCAACATGAGGCTCACCTTCCTCTGGTGGGCCAGAGCCTCCTCCTTGTCATTCAGCTGCAGCAGGAGATAATAAAAAGATGAGGGTGAACACTGAGGCAGGAATGATGTTCCTGTTTAATGTCTAAGAACAGTTACTGACACACTTCAGGTAGAGGTTCAGTTTATTATATCAGGACGCACCACAGAGCGCCATGAGAAAGACTTCCTGTCTGTGGCCATCAAACATAATACAACACTGTATGTATTGTAATATACATTTTATATACACTGTAGTACGATCTGATCATTTTTACTTTAACTTGTTGTGTTTACAGTATGTAAATATTTGTACTTTATTTGAAACTTTACTTATTATTTTTGTGTATATACAGTATATATATGTGTGTATATATATATATATATATTAGGGCTGTCAAGTTAACGCGTTAATAATGCGTTAACGCAAAAAACAATTAACGCCACTAATTATTTTAACGCGATTAACGCATGTGCATTTTTTGTCCTCGGCCGCCCCGTAGTTTCAGAGCACATCGAGTTTAAAATACCATCTACAGGCTGATGCTGACAGCCCCGCTGATGCTGACAGCCCCGCTCCTGCCGCCCGCTTGCTGCAGACCACACTTCCACGCTTACCGGCAGGCCCTGACTGGCCATCGGGAGGACCGGGAGAGACCTTACGTGTATTGTTGTTGTTAGCATCTGGTGCTAGCTAGCTGCGCTAACGGATATAAGGAGCTGTTTCAATTAAAACAGAAGAGTGACATTTCGCCGACAACTGCGCCGAGCACTTGACTTTATGCAGGAAGCCAGACAGTGGGACATTGTACGAAAAGTCAGCACACTCAGCGCGGATAGTGCGCGCAACATGATCGCAGCGTCCAGGCAGATCCCGTTTGAGCATATGCCTTGAGTTGCACATAGCTCCAACGATCCATCACATACACACACACACACACACACACACACACACACACACACACACACACACACACTCACACACACACACACACACACACACACACACACACACACACACACACACACACACACACACACACACACACACACACACACTCACACACACACACACACACACACACACACACACACACACACACACACACACACCACACTGTATTGTATTATTGTACGAGAGATTCCAGGTTGAATTGAGGCGAATATTTGTAATGTTCAGAGGTTGTTGTGTTTAATATTCATGAGAATTTTTGTCATTGTTCAAATGATAATAAACATTTGAATAAAGCATATTTGTCCACTCATATGTTGATAAGAGTATTAAAAACTTAAAAATATTCCTCTAAGGTACATTTAGAACAGATAAAAAATGTGCGATTAATTTGCGATTAATCGCGATTAACTATGGACAATCATGCGATTAATCACGATTAAATATTTTAATCGACTGACAGCCCTAATATATATATATATATATATATATTAGGGCTGTCAAACGATTAAAAATGTTAATCAGATTAATCACAGTTTAAAAATTAATTAATCATGATTAATCACCATTCGAACTATGTCCAAAATATGCCATTTATTTATGCATATTGTTGTGGGAATGGAAAGATAAATGAAAAAAGGCGGATATATCCATTTAACATACAGTATCTATGTTTATTATAAAAAATGTCTGCGTGTCAAAATGAAAGACAACCCACACACCTATCAATCATCAAACCGTGGGGTCTTAATTCATTATGTGTTGATTTCTATCAACGGGGGAGTACTTCAGGAAAGTCGACGGGGGGGGGGCGGTTAGTGGAGTACTTCGTGACCACAGAGTGTGAACGTTGTGATCAGCTGTTTTAGCGCAGTTCTCCAGTGAAGGGGGGGAGTATCCCTCCGTAGCCGGTTGGCGTAGTTTTGGCACAATTCCGTTGTACAGACCGACGTTAACAGCAGCCCTGTCTGTGCACACGGAGACCGACTCTGTCGTCCGGTGATCCAACCGCCTTCTGGAAAAGCTTCACAAGTAGGTACGTCGGTACGCAAATGCGCTTTGTGACACAAGTGACGGTACGCATTTCAGAGAGATTACGCACATAACCTGCGTACCAGTTATGTGCACCCCTGTACTACAGCAAAAGTATTCTCTGTCGGGACTTCCTGCAACAACACCACGCCGTTATCAAAGATGTTCTATTGAGAAGACGATCACTACGTGACAAAAGTTTTCAAAACCGTGGCTACTGAAATCAATCTTACTAACTGCTGTCTGTGCAATTTACTCCGCGCGAGTTGGCAGACTTTATTTTGCTTACTTTAACATCATTTTTCATGGTGGGGCTAAGCCATTTCTTGGTATGGGTGTAGCCTACCCCAGCCATACCCTGGCGCTGCCACTGGTGGCACGTATGGGGCGGGCCATTCTGCACATGCGTTAAATGCGTTAAATATTTTAACGCAATTAATTCAAAAAATTAATTACCGCCGTTAACGCGATAATTTTGACAGCACTAATATATATATATATATATATATATATATATATATATATATATATATATTAGGGCCGGGACTTTAACGCGTTAATTAAGATTAATTAATTACACAAAAATTAACGCGTTAAAAAAATTAACGCATTTTAATCGCACTTATTTTTGCACCGCGGAACGTTTCTCACTGGATGAGTTTCAGGCGTACCGATTATACTGGAGCACCAACTAACGTTCATGACTTCAGACAACAACAAACCACAGTGAACAACAGTGGGATATGTTGTTTTAAAAAACGGACGGATGGAAGCGTCGATAAGAGCACGGTTGTGTGCAAATTATGCAAAAAGGAATTCGCATATCACCGCAGCACATCAAGCCTCAAGTATCACCTCAATGCAAAACATATAGAAGCTAGCGTGGACGTTAGCCTCTTTATCGCGTTCACACCAAAAAGAGCCGGTACTAAAATTTGTTCATGAGAACCTTTTTACCCCCACGAAAGTCCCTGCTAGAGAGCAGAGAGCTGCTAGAGAGCAGGGACTTTCGTACGGCTCTCTTGTGAGAAAAGAGCTATATTTCTGATTGGCTGGGCGGATTGCAAACCACGCCCCGTAAAACTCCCAAAAAGTTTTGTGAATTTTATTATCCTTGCATTAGCATTATTAGCATTAGCCCAGCGCAGAAACGCAGAGAGACTAATTTATGGCAACACAAAATAAAACATGGGAGCGGTGGAGATGAGGAGGTGTCGGCGTTCTGGCGATTTACTCGGAAGGCTGCTGGGACTCCCAGCAGATTCTACTGAAGCCAGTCCCCAACTCCGGGGACTTTGGGCGGCAGTATACGCCGTGAAGTGGTTTGCGGCCTGCCAGTAAACCCAAAGCAGAAGAAGAAGAAGTGACGTCAGCGGCTTCATTTGCCTAATCCTCCCCCAGGTTCAAAGAGTTCTCATGAACTAAGTTCTCATGAACCTTTGTGGAAAAAGTACTGCGGTGTGAATGCGCCTAATGGTATACTAAAATCCATGTGAAAAAAATTGCTTCTCACTGTTCTCAGGTCAAATATTTATATGTGATTAAAAATGCGATTAATTTCGATTAATTAATTACAAAACCTCTAATTAATTAGATTAATTTTTTTAATCGAGTCCCGGCCCTAATATATATATGTGTTGTAAGGGGCTGAGAGGCAGGGTAGTGGGAGGCACCTACATTCCCAACAGGTGGCTCCACCCTCTTCCAATTAGCAGTATTGGGAGCATGTGTGGAGACCTCACACCTGGTGCTAATCACTCCCTCAAGGGAGACAAAGCACACAGAGTTGCTCAGTTGTGCGTGGCACATGGAGGGAGCAGGAGGCTCCCAGTGTAAGGAAACGTTTTGGAAAGCTGGTAAGTCGGTTAGCGGCCCGGCTACGTTAGCCTTTGTTTAATGGAAGGTATTTTTGAGTTTGATAGCAATAAAGCCTCTTTTTGGATTTGAACACTGCCTCTGTCGTGATTGCTGCACTACCACTTTCCTCTTTATCTGTCCATTCCTGTTACACTGGTGGAGAATGAGGGCACGAGAACCGCCACAGGAACCAGAAGAGGTAAAGCGACGACAGTCCTACCTGCCAGAGGGCCAACCGCGTTGCTACCAGTGTGGGGAGATAGGACACATTTCCAGGGATTGCCCAGGGAAGGATGAGCTAATGCCGACCGCCAACTCATCTGGTGCAAGGCCCTGCCATCTTCTTGACTCTTGCTGGGTACAGGAAAGCTCCCTGGCTCAAATGATACCAGTCAAGGTAAATGGAAAAGATGCAGAGGCGCTAGTGGACTAGGAAGTGCGGTGTCCCTCATTCAACCCCACCTCCTCGACCATTTTCCATCTGAAGAGACTATGCCCGTCTCCTGTGTCCATGGGGACACTAAATTATACCCCACATGCTTCATCGACCTTACCACGGTTAAAGGCAGCTGTGAGCTGAACGTGGGGGTGGTTCCTTCCCTACCAGTCCCAGTCGTGGTGGGGCGAGACTGCCCACTATACAAGCGCCTGCAGCCCCAGAAGGAGGTGGGTCCCAAAAAGCCCAAACGTGCCAAAGGAAAACGAGAGAAAGGACAAATTGCCACCCAGGGTACATCTCCTCAGCAGTCCCCCAAAGTTGTGTGTGCTGTGCCGGAGGAGCAGAGAGGCAACCAATCTTCCAGTGCAGATGAGGCAAATGATAACCCTTTTGTTGCTTTCCCGGGAGACCTAAGCACAGGTGAGGAGGAGGGTGAAGTCGCATTGCTTCCAAGTTTGAAGGGCCAGTTCGGGACCGCCCAGATGGAAGACCCCAATCTGTTGCATGCATGCAGCAATGTTACGGAAATAGAGGGAAAACCAGTTCCAGGAGTAGGTGAGCTTACATGTCCTCACTTCCTAATAAAAAATAATCTGTTATACTATGCCAAAGAGGTTGAAGGTCAGCGAAGAAACTTGTTGGTTGTCCCAAAACAATATGTGTCCACAGTGTTGCATCTGGCTCACAGCCATGTCCTAGGGGCCTACCTAGGGGTTGAGAAGACAAGGCAGCTGATTGGGAGCCGGTTCCACTGGCCAG